CAGCCTAGGACAGGCTCACCTCTCAGGAGACAATGTGGGGGTGTGAGGGGACAGCCTAGGACAGGCTCACCTCTCAGGAGACTGAGCTGCAGAGACTGCCAACCGTGCCTGACTGTGTTTTCTGGGAGAAGAAACATAAAAAAAACAAAAGGATAAAGAGAAAGGGGAAGAGAAATAATTTAAGGTGGAGGTCATGCTGGCCTACTACACTGACCTTAGGTGTTATGTAAATAGGGTAGCTGAAGGGGGATTGAAAGCTAGGTGGAGATACAGGATATGAAAACCGACTATTGGGTTTCACCCCACCATGGCGTGATCCTGTGTCCTGCTCTGGACTATACTCCATGCTGAGTTTCTTCTGTAGGATTTTTCAGTTGTGAAATCCTAGAGGCACAGGTATGTAAGTCCTCTTTTGGAGGTAACTGCTCTGTTCCTGGCGCTGAGGATAGCAGAGACGATCTCCACCCAGCTGCATTGCTGGGATCCAGCGGAGCAGGTCGGTGTGAGGTGGCTGGAGCACTGTTGGGAGCTAGTGCGTCATTTCTAATGGTTCCCTGTTAGGGAGCTGATGACCCATCCCCCACCAGTTTTTCCATCTGTATCCTTTTGATTATTCCGAACACATTGCACTTACCCCAACCGGTTTCAATCAAAATAAAGTGTCCTGGTTTAAAAAAAAAATTTAAAAGAATGTGATGACTAGAAACTGGGAAAATGTTATTTAGGATTTGTTTAAGGTTTTCTTAATAAAAGCGGGGTGTGGGGGGGAATAGAAACTGATTTCTCAGAGTAAGAAAAAAAAAAAAACAGCCCCCTGAATGGGATGTTGGGCTATATAACTGTGAATCACCAGTTCTGTGTCTGGGGAGGGTCTGAAACATCCTCAAGTAAACTAACATGGCCTAAGGATGTCAGCCATAGGTCTCTCAACTCGTAAACCAAGTATTCAGTTTCAGAGTGCAGATGGATTAAAGCTGTGACAGCTGACTGTGTGTGGCTTTGGGCTGTAGTGAGGAGTGTGAGTACAAGATGGGTTTCCTTAAAATAAGTGAACTGCCATATCCTGGGAAAAGACAGCACTTAGGACAGACAGGAAATGGGAACTGGAGGGGACAGTTATAGAATTCAGTATATGAGTGCCCCCCCCCCTGAGATGAGGGGGAGTAATGAGAAGCAGTGGGAGTGAGCTGACCCTGGCCTTATGGGAACAGAATGAGCACTGTGGTGGTGGGAGGCTAGCCCAGGCTTCCTGCCTCTGAGTGCAGCCTTCTCCAGCATTTATCTCGCTGGGTGGACTTCTCCACCAAGCTCTGTCTGCTCTTTCAGCCTCGGCCTGCAGCCTAACCTGCTCCACCATGGGTAGTTAGGGAGAGGGCCTGTGCCCAAGAGAAGAGCAACTCCCGCTCTCCCAGTGCCCCAGACAAGGTGGGACCGCAGTAGAGCAGCGGGAAGAAGCGGTTACTCCGGGACAATCGGCAGCACGGCCCAGGGCCAGGCCTGGGGAAGGAGCAGCCGGTCTTGAACATACATGAACCCGTACTCAGAGGACCTCCAAGGAACCGCCAGGGGAGCCCCCAAAAGTCATAATAAAGAGATATTAAGTATGATTTAATGTTATAGTCCCAGTTGACTCTACATGCATGTATTCTTTGATTGATTCTCCTCTTATTGGGTTGCTTAAGTTCACTTGTCCATTTGCTAATAAGCATTGAGGAGGAAGAGAAGGCGGAGGGGTCGGTGGGGGGGCTTTCTTGCTGGAAAGACACTGCAGGTTGTGTTATACATCTTCTAATACTTTATTAGGGATGGGCAGAATTACCCATAGTTTGGTTTAAAAGTTATAGCAATTTAAATATGGTTTTCTAAATACAGAAGTCAAAGGATTGCTAAATCCTTACAAAGTAGAGGGATTTGTTCAAGTGATTCTTCATGAAAGGGTCAGGAAGCATGTCTCTAATCATAGAATCAGTTTCTGAAAAGAGATAGGCCCTCTGAAAAATTGTGGCCAATTTGTACCCCAAACCAAGTGACAGCTCTGGAGATTTTCTGTTGGCTCAAATCCAGATTCTGTCTCGGCCCCTCACATCTGAAAAACAAAAACAAAAACAAGAAGACAGAATAATCAAGTCCTGAGAAACAGACAGACTTCAGACAACTGTTTTGGAAAGAGCTCTAGAAGAAAGCTTCTAAATCCCCAGCTGCCACTGCTGCCACAGACTGTTGTAAAAATAGTGACGGGACAAGAACGGGAGCTTCCAAATTGCCAAACCTCAGAGAGGCACTAGAAATCATTTTTGGGTTTTTTGTTTTTAACCAAACATGGCTGTCAGAACCCGAGATCTTGATTTTGAAGACATCTGTGGCTAAATACTACTGGCTATAGAAATTGCTGTAAAGTTATAAATAAAATGTTAAATAATACACTACAGCTAATTCCCCAGGTGTTGTTTCTATTCTCAAGTAAGGATCTCCATGCACCACGTGACGGTGCGCAGCTCTCCTGTGGGTGGAAATCTCTAGAGCTATTGTTCAGCCTCTCTTGCCCATGTCCCTTTACTCCATTGGTCACAATAACATTATTACTTCTTCCTTGTAATTCACATCAGTAGCCTGACCTTATAAATAATTCAGTATCTGTCGTCTGGGCATTTGTCTGGAATATTATCTTTCATGATGTCACGGAGGAAGAGGGGCAAAATGCAGCGTGTTCTTGAAAGGCTGGTGGTGCTCCGGTGTGGGAAAATGATGTGGCTTTAACATTTCCTAAAGCAGCTCCGCCTCGGCCGCTGCCTCTGAACTTGCACTGAACTTTTCCTTCAGAGACTCCAGCCTGCTGCAAAATTTGATCTGACTGACACTTGGTAAGAGGGCCTGAACCAATCACGGGCACCTGCAAGTGTACTAGCATACCTGTAAATCTATTACACGTGTAATTCCTGCACTGGGCTTCGAAGTCATCCGTACACGCTGTAGGGGCAAGCTGAAGGTTTTTATAAACATAATTTTGAGATAATAGTATATTATCTCAACCCCCCAGGACCAGTTAGGACTCAGAGCCAAGTGTTCAAGGTTAAAGTATGCAGTTGAAATCTTGCCAGCGTTAGTTCCAGAAGACACTCAAGCTTCCAGTTTCTAAACAGTTAAAGATGAAAACAGAATGGAGCCCATTTTGGAAGAGGTGTACATATGCTCCTAGTGATTGCCAGTGACCAACAATAGAACTTTTCTGAATTACGAAAACCTACAGGAATTCAGGTCAAGTATTGACCAAGAGCTTTTCTCACGTGCTGTTCCCTGCTGAGAATGCTGTTCCCACATCTCTACCTCTAACTTCCAGTTCATCCTTAGGGGCTCGGCTTGTCTGATACTTCTGAAGACCTACTGTGTGCTCTCCACCCACACTCCATGGCGGTGTCTCTGTGTCTTGCCTTATTGGTGGAGTAATGTCTGCCTTCCTGGATAAACACAGACTGCAGAAGAGCAGAATCAACATCTGCCCTAATCACCACTGGCCCGCCAGGCTCAAGGTGGTTCTTCAAAGAAGAGTGAAAACCCAAGGCCTATGAGTGAGCATAACAGCTAACATTTAAACGTTTGCTTACTAAAGGCCAGGATGCATGAGATGGCTTGAACATGAGAATGAGTGAAAGGAGCATCCAAAACACCAAGAAACGGTCTAAATCTCACCTTACAGTTGTGTTCAAAGCTTTCTTGTTTACATAAAGCTGGGGGACTGTTTCCACATTCAGAATCGTATTATTTACCTACCTTTCAGAATAGAGGGAAACTCAAACTCTATAGGCAAACTTCCAGGAGCAAAGACTATGCTGAGTAAACTAGCTGTGTGCCCATTTCACACCTGCTGATAGTAGCCGGAGAAAGGAGAGAGTAGACAGGAGGCGGACGATAATGTACGCTCTTGCTCAGCTTCTTGGAGTTATGAGACCCATAGACAGTTAAAATACAATGCTGCCTATACTATTGTGCAACCACATTTTAAGTCAGTAGATCATCTGTTATGTATGTCATCTGTGAATACTTGTCTGCAGCATGCTCCCCAGCACCTCTAAGAATTCTATTGCGTTAATATGCACCCCTATTAATAATTCTCCTAATATTAGACATTTAGGTTGGTTTCCATTTGGGGACATCATAAACCTGTAGCTAAATCTTTGCACACACATCTAACTCTCTCTCTCTATTGAACAATGAGATAAACATATCCAACTGTATTTGAGGAAAGCATCATTAAGTCATAGTTGGATTTTTAGCTAATTTCAAAATTAAAGTTAGCCCCCGCCAATCAAGCTATCAAATGGCTGATTTTGTTTCATAAGAGGTAAGAAACCAAAAGTACTTAGAAATGACCTTTTAAAATTCCTACTAATGAAGAAAGCTTGAAATTTTTTCTTAGAAACATACTGTGCATGATATTTTATCCGGGCCTGAGATCAAAGCCTCTAATTCAAAGGCCACAAAGCTAGTAACTTAGGAATCAGCAAGGAACTGCATTTTATCTACTTGCACAAGTAGCTCCAGTATTTCTTCATTTTGCTTCAATCAAAATTGAAAGAAGTTTTGGGAGGGACCATCTGGGAGTAGCCACATCTTGTCCAATGGGAGCAAATGTCCTTCACTGTTTAAAGTTCATGAGATATCCTTTCCAATTCTGGAGAACTTTATAGTATATGTAACTGAGTGAGACTCCTATAACTCAACTGTGGCCTCTCTCTGTTATGTTTCCAAGAAAAAGCTCAAATTTTCTTCATTAGGAAGCATTTTTATAGGTTATGTTAACGTGATAGGAGTTTTTGTTTTTTGTTTTTCTGACCTATATTGTGTGACACTGTTCCTGGGGAGGAATGTATCTACTCAAACTGAATAGAAAACTGACAACCACCAAGTACAGATACCATCAAAGTCCAACTTGCTAACCAATGAGTTTATTAGGATTATTTTCAGAAATATGGGTACGTGGTTTTTCATACGTTCAGACATGACTCTATGACAGCTGAATCACCAAGGCCCACTCCAGGAGGAGTGACATCTCACGGAATCTGGAAACCTGATGTATACCACAACCTGCCGGCACTCAACGGGTTGGAAAATGCCCTTTCTAGACAGTCCAGTTGGTCTGAGCCTCCTCCAGGCAGCTCAGCTTGTCTGAGAGTATCCCTCAGTGGTCCTTACTGCTGACATATGCTTGAGAAAGGAGCCTGAGTGAATCTGGTCAGTTTCCAGGAGTTCCTGAAGTCATTGAGTTGTTTACTTACAGAACTTCTTGGGGCCAGCTCACCCACACCCACACCACCAGTGTCAGTTCTACTGTTTTCCCCAGGTGAGGTGCTGTGTTGTTGGTTGTTTTATTTTACTCTTTTGGCTCTTTGTAGGGGCTTGTCACCCGGCTCCCAAATAAATACACAGAATCTTATTACTACTTATAAATGCCTGGCCTTAGCTTGGCTTGTTTCTAGCCAGCTTTCCTTAACTTAAATTATCCTGTCTATCTTTTGCCTCTGGGCTTTTTCCTTCTCTTACTTCTGTAATCTTACTTTCATTCTTACTCCGTGGCTGGCTGTGTGGTTGGGTGGCTGACCCCTAGTATCCTCTTCTCCTGTTCTCTTGCCCCTCTATCTTCTTTTCCCAAATTTCTCCTTCTATTTATTTTCTCTGCCTATTTCTCTCTCCTCTCTAGCTATTGGCCATTCAGCTCTTTATTAGACCACCAGGTGTTTTAGACAGGCAAAGTAATATAACTTCACAGAGTTAAACAAATGCAACATAAAAGAATGCAACACATCTTTGCATCATTAAACAAATGTTCAACAGCATAAACTAATGTAACACATCTTAAAATAATATTTCATAACAGTGCTGGGCCTGTTCTCCAGAGCACTGCAGTTGGTGAGGTGCAGGGCCAGCTCTCCTGCCTGCCACAGGTGGTGACAAGGGGTGGGGAGGGGCATCGTTCCCTCACCATGCCATCACATGGTGGGTGGGAGCAGGATGGGTATCTCTCCTGCTCTCACTCCATCAGGGCCAACTCACCTGCACCTGGGCCAACAGGGTCAGCTCTAGCGTGTTGCCCAGGTGAGGTGCAGGACCCGCTCTCCCAATTGCTGCAGCCAGTGAGGGGCAAGGCTAGCTCTCCCACTCTTGTGACCCCGGGACCAGCTTTTCTGCCTGCAATAGGTGGCAAGCAGTGAGGAGGCATCTCTCCTTCACCCACATCACCACATGACAGACAGACAGTGGGGCCCTGCTCCTTGCTGCCAGCTGGGGTTCACCCTGTTGGTGATGGTGAGGGAAAGTTGGCAGTCTGACCAACCAGAACCAGGGCTATGGGTTAGCCCACCCCAACATTCACCTAATCTATGAACCACTGGAGCATGTGAAGGAGGTGGGACCTGCAGATCCGAAGCTGCAGGGTCTCCATGACACAGGGCAACAACGAGAAATCCACGAGAGTCCCAGTACTGAGGGGGTAGCAGAAGCCAGAGGCCTCAAACCAGACAATGACTCACTGCAATGAACACTTCCAAGTAAAGATGTACGGACTGAAGGGTACACTGTGTCACGCGACAGCTTCCACACCTGGACTTTTCGTTTTCATTTTATTTTATTGAGGGGGTGCTGAAAGGGCAGATGTGAAGCAGTGGGGAGATGAATGGGATGGGGATGCATGATGTGAAATCCACAAAGATTCAACAAAAAGTTAAAAAAAAAGTTACCCAAATTTTGGAAAACACGGATCAATCTCCCAATCTGCCAACCTTTCCTATTGGCCTTCCTCTTTCAAACCTTGACGCTGTCAGGTGGGTGTTACTGTAGGCGGGTGGGCATGTGTGTGTGGTGGGTGCCTGTGAGCCTGTGGGGGGGGGGGAGTGGGGTCAGAGGGGGATGCCAATGTCTTTCTTTCTTGCCCTCCTTAAGACAAGATTCTCACTAAATTGGAAGCCCACCTTTTCTGCTAGGCTGCCTGGCCAGAGCCCTCGGGATCCACCTGTCTTCATCTCCGAATGCTGACAGTTACAGGCGCATGCCGTCATGCCTAGCTTTTTTATGGGTGCTGGGGATTCAAAGTGGAGTTCTCATGCTTGTAAATCAAGCATTCTTATTCAATAAGCAATCTCCCCAACTTCTTGGTAAACTAATTTAATGACTATGACAAAGGCCTTAAGATTGTATAATAGAGCTCTGATAGTCAAGGGATCCTGGGGAGGGGGGGAAGGCAAGGGGTTGGAGAGGTGGCTGAGCCGTTAAAGGGGCTGGCTGCATTTCCCTGAACATGTGCCAAGTTCAGTTCCCAGCACCCAGGGGTGGCTCACAATCATTTGTACTTCAGTCCCATGGGATTTGACACCTCTTCTGACCTCTGTGAGCACTGTTTGCAACTGGTGCTCAGGAATACATTCAGACAAAACACCACAGACATAAAAATAAATAAAAATTATTTTGCTAAAAAGCACAATGAACAAGAATTTGTCTCACAGATGTATTCCATGAACTCCAGTTTCCAGAAATGATACCAGAAGTATACCCGTGAGAGAAGTATAGAAGCGATTTTAATACTCACCACACCCAACACAGTGGGAGAGGCGCTCCGATCCATTGGAGGAAGACTTTCTGGACCTAATCGGGAAAATAAGGTTCACAAGACCCACTGCAGCCTCCACTGGGTGCCGCTTCTGCTATTTCCACCCTCGGCAGTGACCTGTGCTCCACAGACTCAGTCTTCCGGGGTCCACTCTTGCTGGGCACCCACTGTCACCTAGAGCTAGGAGCTGTAACCCTCACCAGTAACTCCTCTGGGTTGGCATCCCAGTGTCCGGCAAGTTCAGACTTGGTGTTTTTCTGTGATTCTCTTGTGCAGTGAATTTGTTCGCCCCGTGCTCTCTGCGAGCTTCGTTCTTGGAGAAGAAGCGAGACAAGACTCCGGTGGAATTGGCCAGTTCACTAAGACAACAGAGTAGCTCACGCATTCGCTATACTGATAAATGCAGCCCAAGCGGAGAACAAACCGTCCCAGGCTTTCAATCATGCCAGGGTTCCTTCCTCTGTGTCAGTCACGAAAAAGTGATAGCCTCCGATGTTAAAAAGCAAAGACAGCCAAATCACAACAAAACAAACAAACAGCTAAAAAGAATGAGGAAGAGGGTGGAGAAACGGAGAGAAAAACTGAGAATATATGAAAACAGCCTCAATAGGATACGGTAAAATTTTACCTCCGAGGAGCTGGCTCCAGGCAGAGTAAACTGGATCTTGGAATTTGTCCCAGCACGGATTTATCTCGTGGATCAGACCAAGGAAGATCAGACTGGGAACCAGAGAAACGCTGGATCTCAGGCTCCTGCGAACATGGGGAGAGAATGTTCAGTCGTCAGGATTGTTTGGAAGGCATACTTTAAGTCTGGGCCTGAAATTAAAAAACTTAAAAGTCTGCTCTTCCAAGTTAACCACGTGTGATTGCGGTCCATTTCGGCCTAGAGAGTGAAACGCCAGAAGCTTAGCAGGACCCCAGGAGATACTTAATAGGACCCCAGGAGATACTTAATAGGACCCCCAGGAGATACTTAATAGGACCCCAGGAGATACTTAATAGGACCCCCAGGAGATACTTAATAGGACCCCAGGAGATACTTAATAGGACCCCAGGAGTACTTAGTAGAACCCCAGGAGTACTTAGTAGGACCCCAGGAGGTACTTAGTAGCAGCAGAAGGTACTTTTCAGAATGGTCAGATTCTAGCCGCATACTCTAGAGGCCAAGGGAAGCGGGTTGTGCTTGGCGGTGAGCGTAGTAGGGCCAGGCAGGACGCTGACGTTCTCGCCGGTGAGAGAAATTAGACTAACGCGTAAGCGGAGACCCGCGCTCTGAAAGCAGATGCGGCTGTGGGAGGTTCAGAAATTAAGGAACTGTGTGCAGTGGTGCAGCTACAGCTCAGGAGCCCCATGCCTGCCCCGACCCAGGGTTCGGTTCACTGCAGGCTCGTAATGCGTGTTAACTGGCTGAGTTACTGTGCTTCAGAACTCAGTGTCCCATAGTCGTTCCCTCCAGATTGAAACATCCACTCCTGGAGGGCAGAGCGGGGCTTAGGGGCTCAGAAGGCTTATGAATAAATCTAAAAGGTTCAGAAAACCCCGATAGTTACAAATTCACAAGACCCTTCCCTAATGTTCTCAAAGTAATAAGCAGTTGCTAGAAAACGTATTCTCTCCCGATCCCCAAGCCTAGCTGCCAGCAAGCCGAGCAGGGATGTAGCTCTCGCGAGAGTCGCCCATGCTGGGGTGGGCTTTAGATGATGTAGTTGTCCTGAGTCACCTGTGCTCTGTAAGTAACCCCAATAAACTCACTGATTCATTAAGCTGGGCTTGAGTGTAATCATTTGTTTGCTCTGTTAGCGCCCTATCTGGGGTGAATAGATGCAGTCTCTTCCCAGAGAAAGTTACACAACATTCCAAGGTGAAGTGCAGCATCTAATTAGCTAAGCCCATGCATGCCCTCTGGAGAGCATGCTATCCTTTATATTTGGAGATCCAGACACATAAGCTCAGTAAGTAACATTGCCCGACCCAAACAGCCACGAGCCACCACTGATCTGGGCCACCGCTCATCTCATTGATGAGACCAGAAGATGAGAAGCAAAACTCTAAGATAAATGGAATCTGAGGTCTGGACCCAGAGAATTTTCAGTTCCTTCACTTTACAGCTGAATAAACTTGAATTGAACTCCTCAGTCTCTGGGGGTTGGCTCAGGAAGTAGGAGGTTCCAGATTCAAGCGAGACACTGAGGAGGAAGACTGTAAATGGTGCAAGGCAGACTCTGAGAAGAGGCAAGTTCTCATGGAGAGGGCGTGAGCTCGGGGCCAAAAGTCCTGGCTTCAGACCCAACCGTACCACTCACTGTCTAGACCTTCAGTGATACAACCTCTCCCAAACTAATTTTCCTCATCCATAAAATGGAAATGATAATGATCATTTTGGAGTGTCCGTGGAGATGGAGGATGTGATCTGAGCTGGTCACTAATGGGCATCTGGGATGAAACGACAAACAAACGCTGGTCATGACCACCCCTCTGAGAAAAACAGACCTTCAGAGGCAGCATGGAGGTTTCTACTGACACAATGAGAATGAGCTGGAAGTAATTAGTAAGCATAAGCAGGGCATTCAGGCTGCAGGTCACAAGGACATGTCTTTCAGCATGAGAAAATGCAGTCCAGCTACTCACAAACAGATGTCACCCTGGAGCAATGCCCTTGACCCAGAACAGGATGCCCACCCCCTCCTCCTGACCAAATATGCCTGATGATATAACACAAACCACATAGACTGCATTTTTATAACGGGTTCCCAAGACTGAGGCCAGGTGTAATACAGTCTGAAGATTTTTAAAAAGAGAAGTAAGTTACTTTATGATGCCTGTATCTGAAGGAAAGATTGCAACAGGGCTACTGAGAAATGTGGTTAGGGAGTGTTCTCTTCCAACCAAAACATGCAGTAAACCAGCACTGTGAGCTGCTCTGGAACGTGGTTTGAGAACTTAAGAGTTGATAATGTCTGTATCTGGGCTGTGGGGTGTGTGTGTGTGTGTGTGTGTGTGTGTGGCAATCCGCTCTCACACTGACCCCATTGCACAGGGAGTTATATTTCCACATGAGAAATTCTTGGAGAACTGGGCCTCTGACTCATGAGACTGCAGATTTCAGATAGTACAAGTATTAAAAACACCTCAGTGGTTGTGGTGGTTTGAATGACAATGGCCACCATAGCACAGGCAGAAGTTTCTGTCCCAACTACCCAGCCTACTCCCAAATAACCACTCAGAGACTTAGTATTAATTACAAATGCTCAGCTGATAGCTCAGGCTTATTACTAACTAGCTCCTGCACCTTAAATGAACCCATTTCTATTAACCTATGTGCTGCCCACCCCAAGGCTTGTGGCATTTACTGCTCTGGCATGTCTTGCTTTCTCTCTGGCTGTCTGGCAACTCTCTGACTCAGCCTGTCTTCCTCCCAGCATTCTCAGTTTGGCTGTCCTGTCTATACTTCCTGGCTGGCTACTGGCCAGTCAGTTCTTTATTAACCAACCAGAGTAATACATATTCACAGTGTACAGATGGATTATTCCGAAGCACCATAGGCTCATAGGGAGTAGCACTATTAGGAGGTGTGGCCTTGTTGGAGTATGTGTGGTTTTATTTGGAGAAAGTGAGTCACTGGGTGGTGGCTTTGAGGTCTCAGAAGCTCAAGCCTGGTCACCATGTCACTGTCACTTCCTGCTGTGTCAGGGACAAGGACAGAATCTCTAGTTAGTGGAAAAATACAGACCCCCCCCATAAGACAGGGAACTAGATCATCTTACAGTCAGATTGCCTAGCAACAGGACATTGAGTCAGAGCCCTTGACCCTTTCACCCTGTAAACATCCTATACAAACATCCTGTTAGCTTGCCCCACCTTATGCAGATGACAGCTTCTTGCTCCCCCCACCCTGCAGGAACTATATAAACCCTTCTGGAGAAAAATAAAGTGGCACCTTGATCAGAATCTAGACTTGGTGTGTTTTCCTTTGTATCTCCTGTCCCTACATTCCCTCCTTAGGGTGGTGGAGAACCCGTTGTAGCCCTGCAGGCGGGGCACTGCTGCTTACAGATCTAGATATAGAACTCTCAGCTCCTTCTCCAGCACTATGTCTGCCTGCTTCCTGCCATGATGATAATAGGCTAAATCTCTGAAACTGTAAGTTGGCCCAGTTAAATGTTTTCCTTTATAAGAGTTGCCATGATCATGGTGTCTTTTTACAGCAATAAAACCCTAACTAAGGTAGTTGTCTTCTGACAGCCTGAAATACAGACCAGTTACCTCTGAACCCATCCTGGCCACGTGGCTGCTATTTGAAGAATAGTGGAAACAGAGAAACCATTTAGAAAATGTGAGAGTTACTTCTAAAGGGTAGTCACATTTGAAAAGAAAAACAAAAGTGGAAGGATTACAGATTCAGAAAGAGAACTGAGCCCACAGTGAGCCTGACATCCATGTAACTTTCTTACTCCTTCACGATGCTGGGAGTCAGACGACTCCAGGTTGAGGAAAGCCAAGGTAGGCTTTTAAATGAGTTCATCAACATGTGGTTTCCTTTAACATGATCAAAGCTAAACTTTTTTTGCAAGGAAGTTTTCTCAATAATAAAGGCAAGAAATTCCACCCTCAGAGATATTTTCCAGTTTACAGCCACAGCTCTGGCTGCACAATCTCCTGTTTTGTTTTGTTTTGTTGTTTCTAAATTAAATTTCACATTTGCAAATGTTGATCAACAAACTAGTCCCGCCGATGTGCTTGGATTTCATGTGAAATCCTGGGTGGCTTAGGGGGACCCTGCAAAGCTGTTTTCCCTGAAAGGGCTGGGTTTCCTCTGCCTTCTCTTCAGTGATGCTCGAAGATCCATTCTGCTCTCTCCTTTGCTATCTTGCTTTACACTTTCCCACTGCTCTTAGATGCTGACAGGTTTCTGCCTCTTTCTAACCCTGGCCTTTCTCCTGAGTTTCTCTCCTGTACAGCCAAATGTTTTCTGGTCATCTCTGCCTGAATGTCCCTTTCTCAGACTCACTGTGTACATTAAGACAGTCTTCTCTGTTGCACACCCCGCCTTGAAATGCTTTTCTCAACCGGTGTCCAGCTCCATCAATGCACAGGGAACCCTGAGCAGTTTTACAGAAGCACAGAAGATTGGGTTGTAGCAATTTGCTATGAGGTAGGCAGGTGGGGAGCAATTCCTAGAGACTTAAACAAGCGTAGAGGCACCAAAGAAAGAAGAACATAATATGTGGATCAAACATGCCAACTGGTCAGTTTTTCTGCAATAAAACTAGGGGTCTGGTCAGGCTCCATCCTGCAACTCAGTGTCAGAGTTCTGAATGTCCTAGTATGGTGACAAGGGAGAATGAACATGGAACCGGACCTCCCCTTAGTCCCTTGAGGCAGAAGCATCCATCTCTTCTCACTGTTCTGCTGATGAGAATCTGGGTCACTGTGCTGAAGGTTGTCCCATGGTGCTGTCTATAGTCACATGTGGCTAGGAAACCCTTGTGGATTTTCTTCACCCACAGGACTATTCCTCGGTCAGCGGGAAGGAAGTACAGGCAGTTAACACAATAAGGAAGACTCCTACATTTATTTCTACCTTAGGTTTTAGTGTGTCCCATGGGTTAGGGGTGA